AAAAAAAAAAAAAAAAATGCTTGTAGCTACCGTGCAGACAGCCCCACCCCTATCCTGCCACTGTGAAGATGTCTCAGGATTTCACATTCATAGGGCCAGGCTCTAATCCTGGCAAATAATAAGGAACTCACTGTACTATTAGGGTCCAAAATCTTCCTTGAGGGTGTGCATGACTCCTCTCCTTGCCTCCGCTGCTGTGGCTCTTCCTCTTCTTCCTCCTCCTCCTCCTCTTCCTCCTCTTCCTCCTCCTCTTCCTCTTCTCCTTCCTCCTCTTCCTCTTCTCCTTCCTCCTCCTCCTCGTCCTCATCATCACTGCAGAGGAGAACTGGCTAAAGCAGACCCTCTCTACCAGTAGTGGCCCCCCTACTGTGTGAGCCCAGACCCCAGCCAGGCAAGGCAGGAGGGTGCCTGGGGAGGGAGGGGGAGCACCTGCTCTTGGGATGGGAGCAGATGGATCACCAGGGAGCACATTATTCATTTTTTATCACGCAGGGAAGCCCATGCTGTGGACACAGAATAAGCAACTCTTTCCTGTCCCAAAGGAGCCCTCAGGTCCATGGGGAGACAGAGAAAAGGAAGAAAGCTTCGTCAAATCCAGAGCCCAGGACTTGGCAGAAATACTACCCAGGCTGAGAGGCCAGGGGAGGGCCACCCACATCTACTGACCACTGGAAGCTATGGGTGTGGGGCAAGGGAGAAGTAGAGGTATCCTTGTTCCATTTCTCCAGGACCCTCAGCCTACTTTTGAGTCCCTAGTTCCTAACCTCCGCACAGGGTCTAGCACTGAGGAGACAGAACTGAGTATCTGACACCTGGAGATGAGAGGGGCAGAGGAAGTCAGGTGCTGCAGCCCAAACCGACTCTGTTGCAGAAGAAGGCTGCTCCCCTGCTGCCCCACCCTCACCTCCATGTGGACTCTGCCAACCCTGGAATCCCTGCTTTGTCACATCCATCTCTTCCTTTCTGTAGTGAGCCTTGAGACAGGGTTCCGCTGCCACCCAGGCTGGGCTTAAACACCTAGGCAGGCTCCAGCAACCCTCCTGCCTCCACCTCCCAAGCAGCAGACATGAGCCCTAGCACTGGACTAGAGTAAGCCTTTAAAGAACCATGCTGAGTGCATCCCCTTCTAGGTTTCCCCACCTCCCAGGCCCCGTGCTATCTGGCCTCACCTGTCCTCCACACTTGCAGCTCCCACCACATCACAATCAGATCCAGCGCCATCCCTTCAGAGGCCTCCCTGCCTCACCTGCTGTAAAGGGTGGCCAGGCTTAGGCCATACGTGCTCCTTTGTTGAACACATGACAATTTAATTACCGTCTCCTTCCCACAGGTCAGAGACCCTGATATATATCCCTGATCCCTAGTACAGGGCCTGGTACATGACACAGACATAAACATTTTTCAGTAAAACCAGAAACAAGGCCAAGTATGGTGGCTCATGCTTGTAATCCCCGCACTTTGGGAGGTGGAGGCAAGAGGACTGCCTGAGCCCAGGGGTTCAAGACCATCCTGGGCAATCTGGCGAGACCTCATTTCTGCAATAAATCAAACAGTTAGCCAGGTATGGTGGTGCATGCCTATAGTTCCAGCTACTTGCAAGGCTGAGGTGGAAGGATCACTCAAGTCCAGCAGGTTGAGGCTGTGGTAGCCGAAAGTATACCACTGACCTCCAGCCTGCACAAGAGTGAGACTCTGACTAAAAAACAAACAAACAAACAAACAAACAAAAACTAGAAATAAATGAAGGAATGGCCTGACCCTGGATTTCTTGGGCCACCTACCCGGAGTTCCCTACCTCAGAGATGCTAGCACCTTAGTCATGTTGAAGCCATCCAGCATCTCCTGAAGCTGCTCACAGCCTTCTTCTCCCAGGGTGTTGCCTGTTCAAGGGGAGGGAAGCAAGGTCAGGACAGGATGCCAGGCTAGTACAGCAGATCTGTGCTAAGGCCATCCCACCCTACTACCATTGAGGTCCAGCTTCTCAAGCTCGGCTTTGTCCGCCATGGCCTCAGCCACAGCCAGAGCAGCATCTCTCTTGATTTCACAGAATGATAAGTTCAGCTCCTAAAAATATAAGGAAAAGGTGGAGACAGGCAGAGACCTGAGCCTTGGTTTCCCCAAGCAAGGATAAGGCAGGTTCTGTCCCTGATTGGGCCAAGGAGTGGGAAGAATAACACCAATAACAAAAATAATACCTTGTACCCAACAACGTGCCACTAAGTGTGTTTATTTACACTATAACATAATGATGCACATCATGCCCTTCCTCCCATTTTATAAATGAAGAATCTGGCTCAGAGGTGAGGAGGCTTGTACAGGATAAGAAGTGCAGGAGCTGGGATGTGGGTCCAGGCCCACCTGCCTTCAGACCAGACCCCCTGCCTCCCTTACATCCCACCACCCATGGGCAGTAACCCCCAGGTGTGGGAGAAGCCTAGACCACAGAGGGAGGACACTAGGTGGCCAGGCTGGCACCTTCAGTTTGGGCAGGCCCCCACGGATGGCATCTGCAATGGCAACGGCACCCTTGGAGCGCACCAGGCAGTCCCCGAAATTGATCACCTCCACCTGCCGCAAGGTCTTCAGGGTCTGCAAGGAGGAAGCCAGGGTCTAGAATGAGGATGCATGCTTCACCCCAGCCCTCAGCAAGCCTCAGGAGGCCCTGGAACCATCACCTCCCACACCAACCACCACACATGGTTCTACATCCTGGTCTGGTCTCCTCTGCACCTAATCAGCTCTGCCATCATGTTCTTGTTGGCCTTTGGGATCCTGGCTAAACCCCTTCCACTCTCTTCCCCATTATAGCCAGAACTCTTCCTGAACTACAAATCTAATCACATCACCCCATAGCTTAAAAACCTCCGTGGCTCAGTATTACTTACGGCAGAAAGTCTCAAGGAGTTAGCCAAGCTGCAAAGGCCTTGCTTTCCACTCTTCATCTTCTTTATCCCTCAAACACACCTTGAACCCTGGTCATTTCAAACCTGGACCGAACAAGCAAGGCTCCCTTCCTGAGTCTCTAGTTCCTCTGCCTGTCCCCACCCTCTGTCTAGAGAAAGTCCATTATTTCTGTACAAAAAGGTATCAGAAGATGACCTCTTCCAGGAAGCTTGCCCTAAGTCTGACTTGAACTTCCATCCTGTGTGCTCCCCATCACTCACACGTATCTCTGCTAATACCTACAGCAGCAGGACCAGCCTCCTGTGGGCCATGATGCCCTGGCAGCCAGGCAGCCACTGCATTCAGAGCCCTACACTGTCACTGATCAGCAGCTTCCTTCCCTCTTTTAACTAGGGTCTCCTTAAAGGTGGGTTCTTTGGCCCAGCCCTGCAAGGCCTGTACCTGGTATAAAACCGAGCACTAAACAGGGACTCAAAAACCAGCTGCTAGGCTGGGCATGGTGGTATGTGCCTGTGGTCCCACCTACTCAGAAGGTTGAAGCAGGAGGATCACTTGAGGCCAGGGGTTTGAGACCAGCCTTGGGCAACATGATGAGAGTCCGTCTTGAAAAACAATAAATAAGCTGGGTTCAGTGGCTCAGCCTGTAATCCCACGTCTTTGGGAGGCTGAGGTGAGTGGATTGCCTGAGCCCGCGGGTTTGAGACCCGCCTGAGCAACTTGGCAAGACCTCATCTCTACAATAAATCAAAAATTAGCTGGGCGTGTGGTAGCGTGCGCCTGTAGTTCCAGCTGCTTGGAAGGCTGAGGTGGAAGGATCGCCAGAGCCCAACAGGTCGAGGCTGCGGTGGCCGGGAGCGGCCAGTGCACTCCCGTATGGGCAAGAGAGTGAGACTCCAATTAAAAAAAAAAACCCAGCTGCTGAACAAATCAATGAGGAAAACAGGTGGTGGTGGGGGAGCAGGCTGCTTCTGTGCAGCCGGAAAACAAAACCAGCACCAGCCACTGGGGATGCACAGAGGCAGCTCAGTATGAAGACAGGATGAACACTCAGCGCTGCCCAAGGATGGCAGGTTACCTTGTGATGTGTGACCCTGTTCAGAACAAATAAGCTAGACCCATGTGGTCCACACTAAGTGGACAGGAAGGGGAGGCAGAGCAGCCACCTGCTAATGAAGGCACAGGTTTGTTGCAGCAGGCTCTGTCTACTGGGGCCCCGACCTGGCCCTGCCCTGCTTGCCTCACCTCGGCCATTGCCACAGCACCCTTTTCAGTGAAGGTGTTGTCGTTCAGGTTGATGACCCGTAGCAGGGGGTTGATGGCAAATGCCTGGGCCAGGGCAGTGATGCCAGGGTGATTGATCCCATTCTGTGGCATATGGACCTCCTCCAGAGTCCCGATGATCTGTGAGAGTAGAAAGGAGAGAGTGGAGAGGTGGGCCCCAAGTGCCAGGTGACATCCAGCAGGCAGGGTAGCAGTTCCACACACCAGACACAGGTAGGGGCTGCGGTCAGCACAGGACAGGGGCTTGTCTGTGGGTCTTTTGGACAGAGACCTCAAAGCACACTCTCAGTTTGGCAGCATCTGATTTTCTCCACAACTTCATGATGGAGACCTACCTGGGACAGAATCCCACAGACAGAGACTAGGGATAAGAGAGGCTAAGTGACTTGCTCAGGGTCATACAACTCTGAAGTAGGAGGCCCAAGACCAGAATGCAGATTTCTTCGTCTGTGGGGACCCCAGCTCTAGCAGGTAGCCATCACGACCCTTCTCTGGATGATGCAGCTCTACTCGGCCTTTCCTTCTTGTGTGTCCCACCCACTCAATGTAACTGGCATTCTACACGCCAGGTCCTTCTTTAGGGGTGAGGAGGGTCTTCTCTAACCCACCTGGCCCTTTGATACCTCATTCTCTCCCTGCAACATTCTGTCTACTTAACTGTTGGCATTTTCTTGATAGGTTCATGCATTCTATAGCTGTGATTTTGGAAATCTCTTCCCCCAGGAAGGCTTCCTAGACTACCCCAACCAGGTCCAGTGCTCTTCCTCCACCCCCTAGAGTACTGGGTTCCTTCTCAAGCATTGTGATCTTCACCTTGGAGTATCAAAGCCTATGTTTTTGTCTGTACCCTATAAGCCCCTTAGCTCTCAAAGAGAGGGCCATGCTCCAGTCTCCACTGCTACTCGGGACTGAGGATAGGCCTGGCATAACTTGGTACCTGGGGACCTTCTGCTGCTCCTGGGTTCTCATCACAGTGTGGGTGGAGGGGTCACAAATAAATACAGGAAGGCCGACTAAGGCCCATTACAAGTCAGGGCCTCTTAATATTTTCTGTGCCAAGAACACCAGATAGCCTGATGAGGCCACTGGGTCCTCTCCCCAGAAAAGTGTTTTTAAATCTTAAGATTAAGTATAAAGAATTACAAAGGAAACCAATTCAATTGAAACAGATGTCAAACCATTTAGAAAAAAACCCAAAGCCGGGTTCGGTGGCTCAGCCTGTA